GGGCATAGAGGACCTACAATAATGTACAGTATTTTAAAAATAATGTGTTTTTTGAACATTAAAGCATGTCAACATATTCTGTTACACCAAATACACAAAATAATTATCTTTAAAAAAGCATCATATGACCCCTTTAAGAAAAAAAGATGTTCTTAAGAACATATTTGAGAACATTCTTACCAACTTCTTGAAATTTATTGGAAATTTCTTAAGAAGATTTTTGTGAATCCGGCCCCTGGTCTTTAATAATGTTCTCAAAACATCATTCTTAAATTTCTTTTTTTTTTCTGGAATGTTTTAGTTGGACATTCATCTTGGTTTTTTTTTTTTAAATCAACGTTTTTGAAATGTTGTTTTTCAATATTATTTTCTTTCTTTATTAATTTTTTTCTCTTTATCTTGTTAATTTATTTTATGTTATTATTTTTTCCCCTTCTTCTCTCCCTCCCCCCTTTTCCTTTAATGTATAATCTATTTATTTGCTTAATTAAATTGTGATTATTTGAATTATTTTCAATATTATTGTCTTTATCTTAATTTATTTTGTGTTATTTTTTTCCTTCTTCTCTCCGTCCCCTCCTTTTTTTCCTTAAATAAAACTACTTTATATACATTCAAGAAATGTGTACTACATAAACATTATACAATCTAACACCAACACTTCACATAACTACATGTAAATTTAAAATTGTTGCTTGTGTTTTTGTTTTGGTCTTGTTTGTCTATTGTCAAATTATAGTTATAGCACTGTCTTCCTATATTTTGTACTGTATGTCTTAATTTGTCTTGTTCTAAAACCAAATAAAAAAAACATGTTGCTACTTATTTCAGAATGTTCAGAGGATGTTCAAAAGTAACAATGTTTTTGTGCTAACATTTCGCGAACGTTATTAAAAACAAAATAACCCTGAACAAATGTTCTATTAATGTTACTGGAAGAACAATTGTTCATAACTTTGAGAGAACCTTACGAGAACATGCTGAGAACGTTCCCTGTTAACTAGGGAGTTTGTTACAAGATGATGACAAATAACTTTAGCTCTAAATCAATAACTTATTGAAATGCATCATCGAGCAGATGCTTTTGCCCAAAGTGACTTAAAGGAGAACTATTACAGGACAAAGTCCTTGAGTAATCTGGGGTTAAGTGTGCTATTCCTCATCTTCATAACATTCAGAGCACGTGTCGTGTCAGGCTCCGTATTATCCGTGTTCTCATTCCTGCTGTGACGAACCTTTTCAACTCTGTAACTTTACAAACTGAACATGTTTGTGTGCTAATTGAAAGCAGTATTTCAAGCGCAGCACCTGGAGAGCGGGACAGAAATGACAACATCTGCTCACAGCAAAGCATGAGAAATGATTTCAAACGAATACTGTGATAAAAACTAAATTATGATTCACAGCATTATTTCTGACTTCTGAGAAAAGAAGTGTTAAATATTTTATACAGTAAAGTATGACGTGACATGAAAATTTTAGAAATGTATACTAACATACTACTCATTTCTGCAGTGTACAGTGTAACAGGCATACTGTGAATTTTCTTTTACAGGGATTTTATTTATTATTTATTTATAAAACTGAATTAAAACACTAAATGATCATTCATTTCCAAAATTACTAAACGTTTAGCTAAAATTAAAATGAAAACAGAAAATATATAAAAATAAAAATTTTAAATTACTAAATAATAATTTTAATTGCCAAAATGACTAAACCTTTAACTAAAATGAAAACAGAAAATATATAAAAATAAAAATGTAAAATGACTAAATAATCATTTTAATTGCCAAAATTATTAAACCTTTAACTAAAATTAAAATGAAAACAGAATATATATAAAAATAACTATTTTAAATTACTAAATAATCATATCAATTGCCAAAATTACTAAACCTTTAACTAAAATTAAGATGAAAACAGAAAATACTCGAAAACGGGACCACATCACCCCTATTTTACGATGTCTTCAATGGTTGATTTTAAAATATTACTTCTTGTTTACAAATCTCTAGATGGTATGGCTCCACCACACATTTCTGACTGATTGAACATCATCCATCCAGATCACTCCGGTCATCCAACTATAGACTGTTGGTTATTTCTAGGTCGAAGTACAAGTGTAGAGGTGACCGTGCTGTTTCTGTAGCTGCCCTCTGGAATGACTTGCCCATTGCTATTAGACTCACTCCCTCTGTATCTGTTTTTAAGTCCAGCTATACATTCTATGTTGAAGCTTTTCTGTCTAGTATTTTATTGCTATTTGTTGCTATTTATTGCTAGTATGTTGGTATCTCTTACTTGTCAGATAGATATTTTTCATTTAAAGTTCAAAATTATACCTCATCAACAGCATCTCTCTCCTGTGGGGTTCCCCAGGGTTCTGTTTTGGCCCCATTGCTTTTTGCTTTGCATTGTTGCCTCTGGGGCAATTGATAAGTACTTTTCAATGTATTATTGCTATGCAAATGAAATTCAACTTTATATTTCTTAAAAAAACAAAAATCAGTTCATTCAGTTTTAAATTCTCCAATCGATTAATTCCAGTGCATTCATGCTGCAAACCCAAACAGAATAAGGAATGACACACCGTTGTGTTGTGTTGAGTTCAAAAGAGCAGAGCTAAATTGGGTCTGTGTTTGAGGAAGGAGGCGGCCGGTTCGGCACTGTCATTTTCTCAAAGTGAATCACACGAGGAGACAGAAGTGACCCAGAATTAGAGGACAGGAGGAATTTATCCAGCCGTACCGCCTGAGATAAAAGCTTCAGAGCAAAGATGGACCTGTATTCTGCTCACAGAATTACTGCAGAATAACAACATCTGATGCATCAGCTGAGGGTTTTACTAATATGATAGAAAAAAAATCAATTCTGCTGGTAAAAACCTCTCAAAACCAAAGGGCAAATAATTAATGCAAAATTAAATTACTTAAATATAAAACCAGAAATCAACATACCTGATGGAAAAAATCAAATCTGCCATTAAAACGTCATACTTCAGCAGCTCTCTGTAAAACACAAGTAATGGTGTTTGCGTGAATTTTGCATAATGGGCATGTGAAATGGGTACATTGAATTATGGTGAAATATAAAATATTGCTCTAAAAGTTATAGTTTATAAAAGTTATAAACCTATCAGAATAATCCAGTAACTGAGATAAATCATTCCACATAAAAAAGTAGTAGTAGAAAAGATGGCCTAAAATTACCTTGAAACCAAACACAGACTAAGATTAATAAATTAATTTTAGCTCAATAAAATCTACCTCTCCTGAGATAGATAAATAGATAGATAGATAGATAGATAGATAGATAAATACATAGATAGATAGATAGATAGATAGATAAATAGATAGACAAACAAAAAATAATGAACCGGGTCAGGTTTAAAAAATACTGGAAATTTACATTAACTGAAGAAAATAAAAAAATAAAAATGAAGAGTTAATAAAAAAATATAATTAATAAAAAATAAATTAAATTATACATTTCAGCTAGTTGCTAAGCGGTATCATTTTTTATTTCATTTAGTTTAAATTGAAGTAGTAAAATAACTAAAACTAAATATACTAAAACTAAAAACTGAAACTTAATAAAAACCGTCTCAGGTTACTTATGTAACCATGGTTCCCTGAGTAGGGAACGAGACACTGCGTCCTCTAGGGGTCGCTATGGGGAACGCCTCGTCGTGACCCGTGTCTGAAGCATACATGGACGCAGTTCAAAGTTCCCATGAAAGGGAACATACAGACATAAAAAACTAATAAAACTGGCAAAAAAAAAACTTTACTAAAAAAATATATAAATAAAAATAAAATCTAATTCAAAATATTACCAAAAACTATAATAACACTGCTGGTCAGCTCGTCAGACACCCCTGTTCTTGTAAATTAGATGTTATTTGTAATACTTTTTAGCCTATTATTAAAATAAATCCTCATGTAGGAACCCATACAGTCAAACCCAAATTTATTCAGACACCTTCAACAT